ACGGCATAAGAAGATTACAGTGTCGTGCTTGCTATGGAGTGACACGATAGTAGCGTCGCAATGGCTAGGGGTCCCGGTTGTCGTACTCGGTCTGAAAACGTCGTGAATCCCGCGACTGCTCGCCAATAGAAGCATTCCACGTGGCATCACAGGTTCGAAGACACGTGGTATGCTCAGCGTGCATGAGTCCCATGGCCAAGCCGCTTACCTCTACCTTCAATCGTCCGCCTGTCACGTCAGCGCCACGTGGCTCAGCTGGACTGGCTGCAACGCACGGTTCAGTATCGTCGTCGTCAATCCGTTTCCATCCGCGTTGTTCCCCAACACCTCTACTCTACACCTCAACAGCTCTTCGTGTAGTTCGCACTTCCAACTGCACTTTAAGATGCGATAAATGCTGCACGCCAAGTTCCAACCAGCGGCTTTGCTTAATAATAGCCTCACTCCTCGACCGCATTCCCCGCGCGCGGCATTCGGCGCAGCATTCGGCGCATGCGGAGTTCACGCGCGGACACCTCGGGTGGCCCCGCGGGGGGGGCTTTCCGCGCATGAACCCAGGCGGAACGGAGTGGGAGCAGCGCCGTGCACAAGGGGTGCCGTGGGTCGGTCGCTTAGAACTAGGACGGCGGCAGGACGCGCCACTCCTCCGGGACCCTCCTCCCCGCCCGACCCTCCCCCTGAACGTCCTCGTTTCTCGCTCTGGCCCAGGCCTCCAGACATTGGTAAGGTACCGAGCCTCTAGGCTTGGTTTTGGCTGCAATCCTGGGTCTCTGGAAGTGGCTGATTTCTCAGGTTAGCCAACCTAGTTGGTACACCCACCGATTTGAACCTGGTTAACTCATGCTGCATCACTCGTAATTTACTTGAAAAGATGTTTTCTCCGATAAGTTTGCCTAGAGATTGCGCCGTTTTATGGCCCTTCTGGCCATTTTCTGACCTACCTATTGGTCAGAGACCCTTTTGCATTCCGCCTTCCCCACTCCCTTCCCGTTGCAGAACCCGAGGATGGAAGTTACACCATGGGTGGTAACCAGGTGTTTGTGTCGACTAAAAATATATATTTCCTACGCCCTTCCCGTTGCAGAACCCGAGGATGGAAGTTACACCAACACTGGTAACCCCACTGACGATGGCAGCAGCAGCAGCGAGGAAGACGATAGCACCATCAGCAGCAGTAGTAGCAGTGACACCAGCCAAAAGGTTTTGGAGCGACAACAGCAGGAAAGGCTGCAGGCAAGGCAGCAGGGAAAAAGAGCAGTGGAGGTCGAAAGGGAGGAGGGAAACGGGTGGGTTCCCTTCAGGGGGTTCCCAGGGGGGTGGCGTCTAGAACACAAGCCGCCGACCCACGCAGGAGGGATTTCGAGTCTGTGACTAGAACAGGCGAGGCGGCCAGGGGAAGTGGAGGAAGCGGGGGGGTCGAGATGAGCAGAGAGGAGGAGGAGGTGTGGGAGAAGAATAGGGGGATGGATGGCGTTTCTGATATGGATAGTCTTGCAGCGCTCTGGTTTTTGGGTCTACCCATGCCAGGGATCCCGGATGGGAAGGGAGGGATGCGGGTGCCTAGTGATGCTGAGATGTTCGTTCATGTGTTTGTGAAAGGCTTAGCCAAGCGGCAGATAGGGATGAGTGGGGCGGGAAAAGCGGAACAGTGAGAGTGGGAGGGATGGTGAGAGCGGGGGTGAGAGAAACGGGGAGAAGCTAGGTGAACTGTTAAAACTTTTCAAGAGCTCTGAGAGAGGGAAAGATGGGGGTATCGGAAGGAGAGAGGAGGGGAAGGGGGTCATGGTGATTGAGAGGAGAGATGGTTCTTCTAAAGAAGTTGATGTGGCAGAGGTTGAGGCAGAGCTTGCAGCTTATCTCGACTCCGCTAGCAAGAAGGCTGCTGAAGGCCGCAGTGAGCAGAGAGACATGGGCATGGAGGTGACCAGGAGTGGCAGCAGCAGTAGTAGCAGTGACAGCAGCAGCAGCGGTGGCAGTAGCAGTGGCAGCAGAGGAAGCAGCGGTGGTGGCAGCAGCAGCGGTGGTGGGAAGGGGTTGTTTGGGTTTGGGGGAGAGGTGGCACGTGGCCTCGCTGATGCTGTTCAATGGTTCCAGTCAGTCACCTCTCCCAACCCCTCCAAACCGCTCGAAGCCACCATTGACCCACCCATTTCATCCAAGTCTGCCAAGTCACCTGAACCTGCCAAAACACCTGAACCAGCCAAAACACCTGAACCTGCCAAGTCACCTGAACCAGCTAAATCACCTGAAGCAGCCAAGCCACCTGAATCTGCCCTGCCATCTGAACCTGCAAAATCACCTGAACTTGCCGGATCGCCTGAACCTGATAAATCACCTGCCCAATCCCTTGAAACTGCCAAACCACCTGAATCGACCATTTCATCTCCCCTTCCTTCTAGCAGTACAGAATCTCGCGAAGCCACGCCTCCTCCTTCCATTTCACAGCCCATTCCCTCGCCTCCTCTTCCCCCCTCTCCTTCTTCTGCCTCCCCTCCTCCTTCTCCTTCCCGTTCTCCTCCTACTCCTCCTCCTCCTCCTCTCCTCCTCCTTCTACTTCCTCCTCTCCTCCTCCTCCTCCCTCCTCCTCCTCCTCCTCTCCTCCCTCTCCTCCTATGTCTCCTTCCTCCTCTCCTCCTCTTCCCCCTGGTGTGGCAAAGGCAGAGAGAAAAGCACCAAGCCCTGGCATCAAAGACGAGCCCTTGGATGTGCAAGGTGCTAGCAACGAGGCAGACTATAAGGGGTATAACGAGGCAGGTGGGAGACGAGGGGGAAACGGCGGCTGGGTGGGATTCGAGCGAGGAAGTGAGGGGTGAGGGGGAGGGGGAAAGCGGGCAGAGAGGGAGGCCAGGGGTTGAGTCTGCGTTGGGAGTGGTGGAAAGGAGAAATGGGAGAGGAGGAGAGGGTTGAGGGGGATTGTGTTGACAGAGGCAGAAGAGAGTGAGGAAGAGGATAATGCGGGGTGGATTGCGATAGAAAAGGGTAATGAGGGGCGGATTGGAGTGGAGGAAGGAAAGGTGGACGCAGCAGGGGGGCGTTCTGATGTGGATGAAGGGATGAGGACGAGGGGAACGGATCCAAAAGAGAGAGCGCCTGAACGGACGAGAGAGAGACGAGAGACTTCTGAGGCTCCTGAACGAATGAAAGAGAGTGGAAAGGTGAGAGAAGAGGCGGAGAGGGCTGAGAGGGAGAGCAAGGAGGAGGAGCAGAGGAGATTGGAAGAGAAGCAGAGGGGGGAGAGGAAGAGGGAGAGGAGGAGGGCGAGGCGAGTGATGCTGCTGGCAGCTCAGCTTAAGGAGGCGTTGGAGCGGCAAGGCAAGGTGGTTCTTGAGACGCCTCTAAAATCCGCTCAGTTGAAAGAGGCAGTGGAGAGGCAAGGGGAGGGGAGGCAAGGGGCGATGGGGCAGGGCAGAGAAGAGGGCGTGTGGGAGGATGGGGTGGGAGAGAGGAGAGAGGGGGATGGTGATGGGGGTGAGGGAGTGTTGGGTGAGGGGCGCAGGGAGGGACAGGAGGGAGAGATGGGCGAAGGCAAGCGACGGATGGGAGAAGGGGGAGGAGACGAGCGAAGGTGAGAGTGAGACGAGCGAGGAGTTGAAAGCGGTGAAGATGGAATATGGAGGAGACAAAGTGGGGAAGGTGGAAGGAGGAGGGAATGGTTTAGGAGCAGGAGGGAGTCTAGATGTGGAGGAGTTTGAGAGTGGTGGATTTGGGGCAGGTAGCGCTGCTGCTGGGGGGGCTATTGAAGGGCTCAAGGAGGTTCGGGATCTGCCGAAGCTGATGAGCTGGCTCGGCGGTGTGTCGCAGGGGGAAGGCGGTGAGGTTGGTCGTGCTGAGGTGGATCCGGCCAGTGATGACGTGTCACTGGGCAGTGCCGAGGTGTCGCAGGTGCTGTATGAGCTGGCGATTGCGGAGGAGAGTGAGAAAGCGCTGGCGCTGCTGAGATGGATGGAGGAGAGGAGGGAGAGGGAGTGGGAGGGGATGAGTACGGATCAACGGAGAAGAAAGATTGTGGAGGAGGAGAGAGGCGAGAGAAGCGAGAAGCCTCGAAAGAGGGATGCAACGGGGGGGAGAGGGATCGAGAGGAGGACGGCGAGTGGGGGAGAGGATGGGGTGCCAGAAGAAATTCAAGGAGGAGTGGTAATTGGGGCGGTTTTGGGGGCACCTGAAAATACCCCAAGAGGGGGTGCTGTTCGGGCCAACGTCGAATGCGTACGGTGCTGCTGTTGTAACGATGCTGCTTCGCTTGGGGCGGGTGGAGGAGGCTGAAGCGATGGTCATGGGGACAGTGCGAGAGACGCAGGAGCAGCAGGAGAAGGGGCAGAAGGGGCAGAATGGGCAGCAGGGGCAGCAGGGGCAGCAGTTAAAGCAGCAGCAGGAACAGTGGGAGAAAATCCATCCTCCCCTCATCCCCATTCCCCACCGTGTCTACTGCCAACTCATTGGCGCTCTGGTTGGCACCGGCAAGGGCTTGTGAGCACTTGCTGTGTTTTCCAAAATGAGGAAAGAGCAGGGCCAGGGGCAGAGCACTGGGCAGAGCAAGGGGCAGAGCAAGGGGCAGGGCAAGGGGCAGAGCAAAGGGCAAAGCAAGGGAATTGGAAGGGAGGCGGCACAGAGTGGGGGAAAGGTGGGGGAAAGGGGGGTTCCGAACGGGGTTTTAAGTGGGCGACAAAGGGCCGAGGAAGGCAGGGGAAGGGCGGCCTTCTTGGCGTTATGCCACCTGGTGATGAAGGGGTGCTTGAAGGAGGGCGGGCGGGCGGGCCTGGAGGGATGCAACGCGCTGGTGGAGGAGATGTTTGCGATGGGCGGCAAACTGAAACCCACTCGGTGAGAATGGGAGGGGGAGGTGAGTGGTATAGTTGTTGTTTGGTCTGGTTCATGTGCGGGTTATCTGAGATCCCTGAGAGCATCAGTGGGCTGACGAAGCTTCTAGAGCTCGGCATCCAGTCATTCTGGAATGAGCGGGAACTTCCGGAGTCCATTACGGGTCTCAGGCGCCTGGAGAGCTTGCGCATCGTGGATTGTGAGAGCCTCGCTCAGATGCCAGGGATTTGGAGAGTCTTGAGAGGCTCAATTACCTAGAGGTGAGATTGTGTCCAGTGCTGTTGCACACTCCATCACTGCTGCCAGCGTCTCCTGAGCGTGTATTTGTTGAGCGAAACGAATACACATTCTCAACAAATACACGCTCAAGCGAAGGTGGCAGCAGTGATAGAGTGTGCAGCAGCACCTGACACAATCTCACCTCTAGGTAATTGAGCCTCTCAAGACTCTCCAAATCCCTGGGCATCTGAGCGAGGCTCTCACAATCCACGATGCGCAAGCTCTCCAGGCGCCTGAGACCCGTAATGGACTCCGGAAGTTCCCGCTCATTCCAGAATGACTGGATGCCGAGCTCTAGAAGCTTCGTCAGCCCACTGATGCTCTCAGGGATCTAAAAAGCCTGGTTCCTCACCTGGCAGACGCGCATGCAGTCATCATGAAAGCGTGGCTATAGCAGGGTGGAGGCATCAGAATAATCGTTTCTTTCTTTCTTCTTCTCTGAACCCCCCTACTGCCATGAACCTCACAGCTCACTTTCTCCTTGCTGATCCGTGCAATGCTGCAAGAGGGGGAGCTGAAGCGAGCTCCTCGCGTGCTGCGCGAGAGGATGCCGCGCAGAAACTTGGTTCCGCGCCTGGAGGACGTGCATGCAGTCATGAAGGCCCTGCTGGGGCAAGGCAAGGAGGCGGGAGTGGCCGAGGCGATGAGGATCATGAATGAGATTCTGGAAGTGAAGGGGGAGGGGTGGAGGAGGGAGAGTACCTTACAGATGGTCAAACCGAGCGAGGTGAGTTGGGGGAGGACGGGGAGGCAGGGGGGGGAGGCGGGCGTGGCAGAGGCGATGAGACTCATGGATGAGATTCTGGGGTTGACGAGGGAGGGGTGGCGGAGGGAGAGTACCTTACAGATGGTCAAACCGAGCGAGGTGAGTGGGTGGGAGGGCATGCTTCATTCTTTCATGCCCTGTGAGCGTGCGGTGCCCAACCATCGGAATGCCCTCTTGAGTCTTGATCCGCCCTTTCCATCCATTCCCTCCATTCCATTGAAGCGTCTCTCCCAACCCTTATCTAATCAACTCACCTTCCAAATGCTTATCTTTGGCCTCAATCACAAGCAAAAGCTCAGCAAGGCCTTCCATCCTATGCTTCACACACCCACCCCTATCCTATCAGCTCACCTTCCGCATGCTCATCCTCGGCCTGTGTCGTGAGCGCAATCCCAGCAATGCCCTGTTGACTGTCCAGATTCCTATACCTACACTTCCCACTCCCAATCTCTTTCCCCATCAACACCCACCCCTATCCTACCAGCTCACCTTCCGCATGCTCATCCTCGGCCTGTGTCGTGAGCGCAACCCCAGTAAGGCCGTGTTCTACCTCACTTGCATGATGGACGCGGGACTCATGCCCGATAGACAGCTCTTCCGCGCCTGCATGCTCACACTCTCTGCTCTCGGTATGCTCACACTCTTCTCGATGACAAAATTGGTTTGTCCTCATCCTTTGTCCCTCTCTCGGCCATGTCCACGATATATGTATATATATATGTATATATATGTTTGTGTGTGTGTGTGTGTGTGAGTGTGTGTGTGTGTGTGTGTGTGTGTGTGTGTGGGTGTGTGTGTGTGTGTGTGTGTGCGCGCGCGCTGCGCGCGCGTGCGTGCGTGCGTGCGTTGCGTGCGCGTGTGTATGTGTGTGTGTATATTTATATATATACACATAATAAAAAAAAGGGGTGCAAAATAATGTCGCTCTTTCGACCATATCCATGATTTTTTTGGAAGTATTTTCTTGAAATTCTTAAAATCGTCATGCAAAAAAGTGCCCATTTTTTCGGCCGTATTCACGACGAGTTCGAATGCCATCACGATCCGTCAATTCACGACGACTTTTTTCTTCTTCTTCTTCTTCTTTGCGTTTCATAGGTAGGGCAATTCACGATTTAGGTTGATGATATGTGAAAAACCATGACGTGGAAAACAATGACATCTGCTCGACATTTTTTTGGAGCTCACTATAGTTTAAATCAGCTTGTTTGCACTTGAGCTGTTTATGCTGATAGACGCAGGCGAGGCGAGGAGGGCTGTCTGTCCATCGCTCATAAACGTGGAGTTTTTTAGAGCAGACCCTCACTGTCTTGGATCCCCTGGTTATTTTATAACCGCACGTGACTTGCGACACGTTTTAGTTGTTTGTGTTAATGCGCGGGACGAGGGGCATGCTAGCGCTTATAGACGGGTGCAGACCTGAGAATTGAGGCGCCTCAAAACTCAAAGGGGCACTGCGGGCGCTGATAGACGGGTGCAGACCTGGCGTATATCACAGACCCCCCCTTTCCCCGTTCTCCATCTTTTGTTCCCTCATCAGGCATCACCCGCCGCGATGCATTGGGAGTTGTTTGAGATGATGCGCGGGACGAGGGGCACTCGGGCGCTGATAGACGCAGACGTGTGTGTGCCGCCCCGCCCCCCTCTTCCAAATAGTCCCTCTCTCTTCCATGTATTCCCGCTCTCCTCCCTCAACCAGGCATCACCCGGGACGCATTGGAGTTGTTTGAGTTGATGCGTGGGATGAGAGGCACTCGGGCGCTGATAAACGCGGATCCGTGGGGCACTGACCCCATTTTCCCGTCGTACCCCTTGCCTCTTCCAACCAGGCATCACTCGCGATGCATTGGAGCTGTTTGAGTTGATGCGCAGGACGAGGGCCGCCCGTGCGCTGATAGATGCGGACGTGTGTGGCACTGACCCCATTTTCCCATTGTACCCTGTGCCTCCTTCCAACCAGGCATCACCCGCGATGCACTCGAGTTCTTTGAGTTGATGCGCGGGACGAGGGCCACCTGGGCGCTGATAGACGCGGACCTGTGTGTGCTGTGCCGATCCCGTTTTATCCCATGTATTTCCTCACTCTTTTATATAAGCTATAACCCATCTCTCGTTCCAACCAGGCATCACCCGCGATGCTCCAGAGCTGTTTGAGCTGATGCGCGGGACAAGGGGCAGACGGGTGCTGGTAGACGGGTGCAGACCTGGCGGCGAATAGCACTGACCCCTCTTTTCCCATTCTCTCGTTCCCACCAGGCATCACCCGCGATGCATTGGAGTTATTCGAGCTGATGAGAGGGACGAGGGCTACGCGGGCGCTGATAGACGCGGACATGTGCACGCTGTTGCTGGCGGCGCTGGGCAAGCGCGGGCTGGGGCTCGAGATGAAACGAGTGGCATCACTCATGCGCAAGGTGGGAAAGTGGGGCCTCTTGGTAGCAGGAAGTGGAGGAGTGGTAAAAGGTGGGAAACGTGTGACTCTGGTCCTTATTATGGGGAAGGTTGGGGAGAGTGCTCTTGGTAGTGGGGAAGGTGGGGTCTTGGTAGTGGGGAAGGTGGGGTCTTGGTAGTGGGCGAGGGCCACACGGGCGCTGATAGACGCGGACATGTGCACGCTGCTGCTGGCGGCGCTGGGCAAGCGCGGGCTGGGGCTCGAGATGAAACGAGTGGCATCACTCATGCGCAAGGTGGGAAAGTGGGGGCTCTTGGTAGCAGGAAGTGGAGGAGTGGTAAAAGGTGGGAACGTGTGACTCTGGTCCTTATTATGGGGAAGGTTGGGGAGAGTGCTATTGGTAGTGGGGAAGGTGGGGTCTTGGTAGTGGGCGAGGGCCACACGGGCGCTGATAGACGCGGACATGTGCGCGCTGCTGCTGGCGGCGCTGGGCAAGCGAGGGCTGGGGCTCGAGATGAAACGTGTGGCCTCCCTTATGCGGAAGGTGGGGTGTTGGTGGTGAGGAAGGAAGGTGGGGTGTTGGTGGTGAGGAGGGTGGGATCTGCAAAGAAGGAGAGTCTGATTCTTGTATGGAAAAACGCAACGTGATAACAGTTGTGTTTTGAGACGTCTCAAAACTCATCTGTTATCAGAAGGAGAGTCTGATTTCTGTATGGAGAAACTGGGTCCCCCACTTGGCAATACCTTATACCAATTAGTCATATGCATGCATGTTTCCTCCCTCTACTATGCATCTCTCCCATTCTTACCCTAACTTACCCCCCTGCAACCTGTCCCACCCCACCCCACCCCACCCCACCCCACCCCACCCCACCCCACCGCACCGCACCACACCCCACCACACCGCAGATGGCGATCCCTCACAGCGGCGAGTCGTATGCGCAACTGATCATGGGGTATGCACGGGCGGGCATGTGGAGCGAGGTGGACGCTTTAGTAGCCGAGATGGAAGAGCAGACAAGCAGAAGCAACGCCAATGTTAATCTTGGTGCCGATATTGCTGCTGAGCCTGCCTCTGTCTCTGCCGCTGCTGTTGAAGAGCTGGGGATTGGGGTGGGGGCGACAGTGCGGGACAGCATGGCGGTGTGCAATGCACTGATGATGGCGTATGGGAGGGCCGGCAGGATGGAGCAGATGGAGATGGTGGTGAATCGACTCAGAGTGCTGTCGCCAGATGGCACGCTGCGATTGGTGAGTTCTGTTGTGGCATGTGTTGATTGTTTTAGGTTTACCTACCTTATGTTTGGTAATATATATATTTACATATATATACATTTTTTATTGTCTATTTGTTTGGTATTATGTCTAAGTGTTTTATTAGACAACATATTGTGTGGTGACAATAAGAGCGTTACTTAAACTTTATATCTGGCTCTAGCCATATTAACCGCACTGATTTGACAAAAGTGCATTACTTACTCCCAAATCTTTAAAACTCAAACAAAAAATCTCCTCCCCCAATCCACGCATTCCCCATCGCCAGGAGTCTTACAAGACTCTAGTAGACGACTTTTGAGGTGCATTGGTTGATTGGGGGGGGAGGGGAGGTAAACATGGCAATAGGGTGGCTCAAGTGATGATTCATAAGCAGGGGTGATTATGTTAGACTCAAAACTTGGATATCTAGTTTCGGTAAGTTGTTTTTTTTCCAGCACGATACAGTACCCTATGCCATTCATTTCTGTTTTGAATTGCGAGTTATGACACCCATGTCAGAACAAGCTACCGTAAGCACGGCATGAGTTCCAACTTTTATGTGTTCCTAGACCAGTACTGGTCGATAGCCGTGCTTACGGTAGCTTGTTCTGACATGGGTGTCATAACTCGCAATTCAAAACAGAAATGAATGGCAGTACTACAGACAAAAGACATACGGTACTGTATCGTGCTGGAAAAAGACAGCTTACCGAAACCAGATATCCAAGTTTTGAGTCTAACATAAACCCCTGCTTATGAATCATCATTTGAGCCACCCTATTGCTATGTTTACCTCCCCTACCTCCCCAATCAACCTCAAAAGTCCTACACGATTATTGTAGAGGTGCACGTCCATTGCTGTGCCCTTCCTCCACATAGCCCCTCAACCCGCAAACCTCGAATCGCATCCCCCATACCCCATCACACCGCATCACACTCATTTGCACTCCATCACACCTCATCCCACGACACCCCATCATCAGGAGTCGTACAACACTCTCCTGGAGGTATACGCTCGTCGCTGCGCCCGCAATCCAAGAAGGCGAGGCAGAAACAAAAGCAGAAGCAGAGCCGGCACTGTTGCTACTGATACTGCTGCGGATTCCAATTCTGATGCTGCTACTCCTTCCCCTTCGCAAGGGGAAGCTAGGAAACCTCAAGCCCAGTCTGAGGGGGAGGAAGAAGAAGTAGCAGACAAGGAGGGAGATGGATACGTGGAAGGGGATTTGGAGGACGAGCAGGAGGGAGGGGAGTGGGGGGGAGAGGAGGCGGAGGAGGAGGAAGAGGAAGAAGCGGTGAGGGCACGGCAGGCAGCAGCGATGGCGGATGTGGCACGGGTGGTGATGGAGGTGGAGGGAGCAGGGCTCCGCCTCTCCATGCGCTCCTATGCTGCTGTCATGCAGGCGCTAGGTTTGGCGGGTCATTTCGACCAGGTGTGTTTCCTTTCCACAGTGTGTACGCATTCGTAGTAATCCCAATATAGGGCTGCACCCCGTGGGTGCTGATGGAGGTGGAGGGGGCAGGGCTCCGCCTCTCCATGCGCTCCTGTGCTGCTGTCATGCAGGCGCTGGGGTTGGCAGGGCACTTCGACCAGGTTCGTATAGTGCTGTTGTATACGCAACATAGAGTACACACACGCATACACTGCATGTGGTTCCATGTGCTTGGCGCCCTCCGCCTCTCCATGCGCTCCTGTGCTGCTGTCATGCAGGCACTGGGGCTGGCTGGCCATTTCAACCAGGTGTGTTCTCATTGTGTGTATGCGTATATGGTACATGCCGTGCCAACAGCCTACCGCCTCTCCATGAGGTCAATGTATGATACGCATTGTAGAGGTGAGTGAGGGCATGGCAGGCAGCAGCTTTTGCAGTAGTGTACGCAGTATGCATGTGGTGCGTGCAAGCAGCTCTGCGCCTCTCCATACCCTCCTACGCTGCTTTCCTGCAGGTAGTGGGGCTGGCAGGGCCTCTCATTCTCTCCCCCGGTGTACCGCAAGCTGATTGACGTTCTCGGGATGGGGGGGCGACTGGGGGAGGCGCTATGGTGTTCTCACTTCTCACTGCAACACTCCTTTCCATTCGCCCCAATATTATCATTCCTCATTTTCAGGTGAAAGGCCTGGTGGCAGCAGCACGCGCACAAGGGCTCTCATTCTCCCCACCAGTCTACCGCATGCTCATAGACATGCTGGGGCTGATTGGTGGGGAGGAGAGGGAGATGAAAGGCTGTGGAAGGCATTCATCCCTCTTACGTGCTGTTCTTACTGAAAATATCTCTTTCATTCATCCCTTGTTTGTTCTCTCTCTCCACCCCAGGTGAAAGGCCTGGTGGCAGCAGCACGAGCACAGGGCCTCTCATTCTCCCCCCCAGTGTACCGCATGCTGATAGACGTGCTCGGGAGGGGGGGACGACTGGGGGAGGCGCTACTGGTGTTGGAGGAGCTGAAGAGGGTACACCCCGGGCATGGCAATTTGTCCGCTTACAATACTCTCTTGCTGGTGAGTGGTGTACTCGTTATAAAGGTGTGCACTCGTTACAAGGTGCATCGAGATGGGAGCAGTGAAAACTGCCTGGGGGGAGGAGGGGAGACGCTGCTGGTGTTGGAGGAGCTGAAGAGGGTGCACCCGGGGCATGGCAATTTGTCGGCTTACAACACTCTCTTGCTGGTGAGACGATTATGATGATGTACTCGCTATGAGGTGCTTCAAGATGGGACCAGTGAATTCTGCTGATTGGGGAGGCACTGCTGGTGTTGGAGGAGCTGAAGAGTGTGCACCCGGGCATGGCATACTCGTTATAAGGTGCCTCAAGATGGGGAACTATGAAGGCTCTGTTGGCCTTACAAGGTGCCCATCCAGAGCACGTGTTTGCAGTGCTCGCCCTCATGGCATCACAGCGCGTGCTGCCCAGCCGCAACAGACCGGGCTATGGGGAATGGATCACTTTTCATCAAGCCTCCCGTTCCGTCCCCTCGCATGCTTTCCCCTCCCCTCCCCTCCTCATTCTCTCAGGCCCTCCAAGACGCCCATCCAGAGCACATGTTTGCAGTGCTCGCCCTCATGGCATCACAGCGCGTGTTGCCCAATCGCAACAGACCGGGCTACGGGAAAAGCATCTCTTTTCATCAGGCCTCCCGTTCCCTCCCCTCGCATGCTTTCTCCTCCCCTCTCCTCCTCATTCTCTCAGGCCCTCCAAGACGCCCATCCAGAGCACATCTTTGCAGTGCTCGCCCTCATGGCATCGCAACGCGTGCTGGTGATCCCACTCCCTTCCCCACCCTTCCCATGCCCCTCCACGTTTCCTACCCTTTCCCATGCCCGTCACCCCCTCCCCATTCCCCTCAGGCCTTACAAGACGCCCATCCAGAGCACATGTTCGCAGTGCTTGCCCTCATGGCATCACCGCGCGCGCTGCCCAATTGCAACAGCATGGCTTGTAAAGAATGAATTCATGTCGTTTGAACCTCCCCTTCACTCCCCCCTCATGCTTTCTCCTCCCCCCCCCCTCCCCTCCTCATTCCCTCAGGCATTACAAGACGCCCATCCAGAGCACATGTTGCAGTGCTAGCACTCATGGCATCAACACGAGTGCTGGTTACCCCTCTCCCCACCCTTCCCCACGCCCCTCACCCCTTCCCCATGCCACCTCCCCATCCTTCCCCACCCATCCCCACGTCTCTCAGGCGCTACAAGACGCCCATCCCGAGCACATGTTCGCTGTGCTGGCACTCATGGCGTCTCAGCGCGTGCTGGTGACCCCCACTCCCTTCCCCACCCTTCCATTGCCCCCCCTCCCCATGCTTCCCTGTGCCCCTCAGGCATTACAAGACGCCCATCCAGAGCACATGTTTGCAGTGCTGGCACTCATGGCGTCTCAGCGCGTGCTGCCCAATCGCAACAGCCTGGGTGCCATGCTGGCAGCGTGTGAGGCTGCCAACTCGCCACGTGGCGCTGCCAGGGTGTACCTCAGCGTGGTTGACACGTGGCGCGACGGGGTTGGCCGGGAGGGAAGTGGAGGCGGTGGGGGGGAGGATGGGGAGGAGTGGGAGGGAGAGGAAGGGGAGGGAGGGGGCGTGGTTGATGCGATTCTTAAGGCTGTGGAAAGATTTGGTGAGCAAGGGGAGATGCTTGTGAAAAGGGAGGAGGGGGAGGAGCAGGAGCAGGAGCAGGAGGGGGAGGTGCTGCGATATCAGCAGCAGGAAGGGCAAGAGCAACAGCAACAGAAAGAGAAGCAGCAAGAACAACAGCAGCAGAAAGAGCAAGTGAAAGAGCAAGCGCAAGAGCAAGAGCAAGAGCAACAGAAAGGGCAAGAACAAGAGAGACGACAAAACCTCATCATGGAGATGACAGAGACGGGACAGCAGCAGAAACAAGAGCCAAATCAGGAAAATCAACAGCAGGAGCAACAGCAGCAACAGCAGGGGCTGGAGCAACCGCAGCTGCTGGACTTGAAGCAGAAACAACAGCAAGAAGGCCAGCAGGAGCAGGGGCAGCAGGAGCAAGAGAAGCTGAAGCAACAACAGCAGGAAGACCAGCAGGAGCAGGGGCAGCAGGAGCAAGAGAAGCTGAAGCAACAACAGCAGGAAGACCAGCAGGAGCAGGGGCAGCAGGAGCAAGAGAAGCTGAAGCAACAACAGCAGGAAGACCAGCAGGAGCAGGGGCAGCAGGAGCAAGAGAAGCTGAAGCAACAACAGCAGGAAGACCAGCAGGAGCAGGGGCAGCAGGAGCAAGAGAAGCTGAAGCAACAACAGCAGGAAGACCAGCAGGAGCAGGGGCAGCAGGAGCAAGAGAAGCTGAAGCAACAACAGCAGGAAGACCAGCAGGAGCAGGGGCAGCAGGAGCAAGAGAAGCTGAAGCAACAACAGCAGGAAGACCAGCAGGAGCAGGGGCAGCAGGAGCAAGAGAAGCTGAAGCAACAACAGCAGGAAGACCAGCAGGAGCAGGGGCAGCAGGAGCAAGAGAAGCTGAAGCAACAACAGCAGGAAGACCAGCAGGAGCAGGGGCAGCAGGAGCAAGAGAAGCTGAAGCAACAACAGCAGGAAGACCAGCAGGAGCAGGGGCAGCAGGAGCAAGAGAAGCTGAAGCAACAACAGCAGGAAGACCAGCAGGAGCAGGGGCAGCAGGAGCAAGAGAAGCTGAAGCAACAACAGCAGGAAGACCAGCAGGAGCAGGGGCAGCAGGAGCAAGAGAAGCTGAAGCAACAACAGCAGGAAGACCAGCAGGAGCAGGGGCAGCAGGAGCAAGAGAAGCTGAAGCAACAACAGCAGGAAGACCAGCAGGAGCAGGGGCAGCAGGAGCAAGAGAAGCTGAAGCAACAACAGCAGGAAGACCAGCAGGAGCAGGGGCAGCAGGAGCAAGAGAAGCTGAAGCAACAACAGCAGGAAGACCAGCAGGAGCAGGGGCAGCAGGAGCAAGAGAAGCTGAAGCAACAACAGCAGGAAGACCAGCAGGAGCAGGGGCAGCAGGAGCAAGAGAAGCTGAAGCAACAACAGCAGGAAGACCAGCAGGAGCAGGGGCAGCAGGAGCAAGAGAAGCTGAAGCAACAACAGCAGGAAGACCAGCAGGAGCAGGGGCAGCAGGAGCAAGAGAAGCTGAAGCAACAACAGCAGGAAGACCAGCAGGAGCAGGGGCAGCAGGAGCAAGAGAAGCTGAAGCAACAACAGCAGGAAGACCAGCAGGAGCAGGGGCAGCAGGAGCAAGAGAAGCTGAAGCAACAACAGCAGGAAGACCAGCAGGAGCAGGGGCAGCAGGAGCAAGAGAAGCTGAAGCAACAACAGCAGGAAGACCAGCAGGAGCAGGGGCAGCAGGAGCAAGAGAAGCTGAAGCAACAACAGCAGGAAGACCAGCAGGAGCAGGGGCAGCAGGAGCAAGAGAAGCTGAAGCAACAACAGCAGGAAGACCAGCAGGAGCAGGGGCAGCAGGAGCAAGAGAAGCTGAAGCAACAACAGCAGGAAGACCAGCAGGAGCAGGGGCAGCAGGAGCAAGAGAAGCTGAAGCAACAACAGCAGGAAGACCAGCAGGAGCAGGGGCAGCAGGAGCCGCGGAGCGTGGGCATGGAGGGGGCGGAGTGGGTGATGAGGCTGCAGCAAGAGCGACCAGGAGAGGGGAAGCAGCAGCAGCAGAAGGAGGGACAGCAGCAGAAGCTGAAGCAGCAGCAGCTGCTGCAGCAGCAGCAGGGGCAACAGCAGGAGGAGAAGCAGCAGCAGCGGCAGAAGCAGGAGGAGAAGCAGCAGCAGAAGGAGGGACAGCAGAAGCAGAAGGAGGGACAGCAGAAGCAGAAGCAGAAGAAGGGACAGAAGCAGCAAAAGGACGAGGAGGAGGAGGAGAGGGAGGGTCAGCAGGGGCCGAGGAGCCCCAGTATGGAGATGGCGGAGAGGGTGGTGAGGCTGTGTCGTGAGGGGCTGCTGGCAGGGCAGGCCGTGAGGGTGCTGGAGGGACTGCTGGCCAATGGGATTGTGCCATCTGTCAAGTGCTACAGTGATGTTATCCATTGTGAGTCACGATGTTACAAGGTTTCAAGCCTTCAGCTTTCAGGTGCTTTTGATGTAATCAGAACCTCTCTCTCTTCCTTGAGGGAAAGATGTAAGCTTGTTTCCTTTCCTCCTTCATTTTTCTCGCCTGCCCATCCCATCAGGTCAATCGTCTCTCGGCCAATGGCAGCAAGCCCTCACCACCCTCTCCAAAGCCCTCTCCCTCAGCATCACCCCCTACTCCTCCGCCCTCCTCGCCCTCGCGCACTCTCTCGCCACCGCCGGCAAAGAGACAGAATGCTACCAAGTCCTTCGGATCTACTTCACCCATGCACGCGCCGTTGACCTAGCTGTGTTCTGGGACATGGGTTTACACGTGCTGGCAGCAGCAGGGGAAGAGGAGAGATTGGAGAAAATAGAAGGGCTGTTGGGGCCTTTTGGGTTTCAGATGGATATGGGTGTGGGTTTGGGTATCAGCATGAGTATGCTCTATCCTGCACGGCCGGTGCTGCGGTATGAAGGCCTCGGCGAGGAGTTCAGTGCAGTGACCGGGACAGCGACAGATGCAGCGCTGCTGCTGGAAGAACAGGAGCAGCAGCAGCAGCAGCAACCGTTCTCCTTTCGATGGTCCTCCGACATCCATTCTAGCGATAAGAACGATGAGAGTGATCAGAGTGGTAAGAGTGATCAGCATGCTGATAAGGCCCTTCCCTACACGTACTCCAGCGACCTCCTCCTCCTCTCCTCCCTCCTCTCCATCCAAATCGACCGCGGGAATTTCGACGAAGCCATGCACACTGCGCAGTTCATAGTCAACGAGCGCCTAGACGAGTACCTCTATAACGAGTACATGGAAGAGGACAATCGAAACAGGGATATTAGGGGAGGAGATTCCTACAGAGGGATTCAGGGAGGGAGTGTGCTGCGGAGGGCCGACCCGGCCTTTTTCCCTCTCGTGATCGGGTTTTTCCGGCTGGCGAGGCTGATTCCGGTGGTGGAGGGGAGGACGAAGCAGAATCTGTCGGTGCTGCTGCTGCTGCTCATGTCGCAGGCTGTGCGGTGCGGGGCCCCGCCGCTGGTGTCCGGGTTTCTGGTTTCTGCGTGGGCTAAGGCGAATCAGGAGGAAGGGGAGTCTCCTGTTGTGAGGGAGGAGGGGGGAGGGAGGGGAGGGAGAGGGGGAGGGCGAGGGGGAGGGGGAAGGGGACGGGGTGGGGGAGGGAGAGGAGGAGGGAAGGGGAGTGGAGTGAGGGGAGGGAAGGGGAGGAGAGCGGGGGGGGAAGGGCAGGGGCAGGGGTTTGGAGGGAGAGGGTTTGATAGTGATAAGAAGGGGTTTGAGAAGGAAAAGAAGGGGTTTGGAGGCGTGAGGAGGCCGAAACAGGTGGGGAGGGAGAAGGAGGGGGAAAGGGTGTATTTCGGGGCGGAGCAAGCAGGAGGGGTGGAGGGGTCGGGGAGTGAGGAGAGGGAGAATGGGTGTTGCTGGCCTCTGTGGAATGGGAGGGTAGCAATGGCAGTGGCAGTGGCAATGAGGGTAGCGATGGGAATGAGGGGGATACCAGCAGCAGCAGTTCCGCTAGACGGCCACGTGCTGACGTGGATTCAGACACCGCTGACGTGGATCCTAGCACTGCTGACGTGGCAGACAAGAAAACCTCCAGCAAGGAAGATGCTGACCTGGACGAGCTCGTGGACGACATCGACAGCAACGCAGACCCCGCATTTATGCACGTCCCACCGCGCATTCTCGCCGAATTCCGCTCCTTCCTCACCCTCCCGCCCTGCCCCATTGAATCCTCCCGTGCCGTTGCCAACGCCATTATTGACACGGCCTACTCCCTGCATCTTACCCAAGCGGCTGTGGACCTTTTCTACGCTGCGAATGAGGCTCGGATGTTCCCGGACCTGTTCCGATTGGAACGGGATTCGCTGGTGCTGTCTCTCAGGCTCGTGTCGCCTGCTGGGGCTGAGTTGATATCTGCCGGATTCTTCTGCCTTTGGTCCGAGTATTCAGATGTAATCCAGACACGCAAAAACAGCTCATGATATATATATATATATGATATAATTACAGTACTGTGTACATCTCCTAATTCCCCCCGCGTGTGCTTTGCGCAACCAGGGGTTTTGTGATATACAAATATTTACAGTTCTAGGCTACTAGCATGCACCGCCTCGCTTCCCAGCCATTCTCTCCTTCCACTGCCACAAGGCGTCCCTCCAGTGCCTCTGCTTTTGCCTCTTAGCCACTCTCCCCACCTGATGCGTGCTTCTGGCAACATCAGAGCTCTCGCAGCTCACACATCTCTTGTCGCTGCATTGACTGCCACAATGGCAGGAATCCTCACACGGTGGGTCTACATCCATTCCTGTATCACCCATTGTGGTAACACCCGTGTCAACAGGAACTTCAAGGGGAGCCTCAGCCTCCTGTGGTTGAGTACTTGTGAGAATGTCGACCCTGTCTAGCAACTTCGTCAGCTTCCTGGCCATGTCCCGACGCAAGTTCCGAACGTCCTGGTTCGGGGACTGCACCTCGTCCAACCGAAGCAGCCAGCTCATGATCGTCTCGCTCACCCGAAGCTTTTCCAAAGGGTCAGAAACCATCTTAGCCACGAATTCGTTATCCCGAAGCTGCGCGTCCATCTCGTGAACCAGTTTCCGAACGTCAGCTATGGACCGAGCCAGTTCGAGAGGCTTGCCTTGGCGCACAGAATAGCCCCGCCATACTGCTTGCAACTTCCGAGCAGCATCGTCAGCCGATAATGACGATACGCGAGCGATTTTAGCAGCAGGAATTCCGGCGACGCCCGCCATTGGCGACGCTGCCGGCGTCTCGGGGCGCTTGCTACTATTGTTTGCTGGGTGCTGGACGGGTATTTGATGGGCAGCTGCTTGCTCCTGGTGCTGTGATTGTCGAATCTTTGTCTCATTCACGTCGTGCTGCGCCCCTCGCGCGTACGCTGCATGCCTTCGCGCGTCAAGCTCGTGCGCTTGCTGCTTCCGCGCAATCTCATGTTTCCGTGTGTCATTGCGTCGTCTCTGCGTCATATTCCCAGCTGATGAGTCAAAACCGTTGTCGAATAGGAACGGATCGCCAAAAAGCGGAGACGAAGAGGAGGCAAAGTTCCAAGGTGACGGTTGGGAATGACAATGGGTCGGGTAAGACGATGCGAGAAGGTGAGGTTGCTGTCGCTCGAAAAGCAGATCTGACATACCGAATGCCATTCTCTGAAGACCGTCTATCCAATGAGGTGCTGGCGAAGCTGGTACGATTTTGAAAATAAGAGTTCGTCTAAAGCTTTGAGTTCGTCGTAAGCTGGTATGAAAGTAGCTGAAGGTGTTGTAGGTTTTTGAATGATGTCTCCTGTCAGAATCCCAACCACTAGACCATTGGGATAAAAGGGCTTTTTTTTCAGTAGCGGGTCAGTGCGCCCATAACCCCCCAGGCAAACGCGCCTGTAACCCCCCCTAAGATCGATCGGGGATCTCACAGTGTAGCTCTACTGACACCCCCCCACACTGGGAGGCCCAGGACTGAGCACAGTGGCAACGGCCAACATGTGCATACACCGGGATTCGAACCCGAGACCGCTCTGATACCATGTCAGAATCCCAACCACTAGACCATTGGGATAAGAGGGCTTGTTAAGTAGCGGGTCAGTGCGCCCATAACCCCCCAGGCAAACGCGCCTGTAACCCCCCCTAGGATCGATCGGGGATCTCACAGTGTAGCTCTACTGACATCTCCGTCACTCGCCAATTGTATTTATAGAAGTGGCATGAATGATGACCGTGGTTCTAGAACCACCTCGGACTGTCGAGATGCAGCGAGAAAGCTCTGGTTAGCTCGGACCGAGCAGGTTTGCGAATCCGCGTGGTGCTTCGGGAATTCGCGTGTTTTTTCGCGAATAAGCGGTGTTTCGCGATTCCGGATATTGTTTCGCGAATTCGCGTGGTACCCTGCAAATCGAGGTGGTGCTTCGCCAGCCGCTTGCAACTTTGCAAAAACGCGTGGAAAATTGGGAAAGAGATGGCCTTTGCCCAGTGTGGTATTCCGTGAAATGCCGTGCCCGCTTCGTTGCGGAGCTCTGCGACGGGCAGGGCTGGGAGGGAGCAAGGGGGTGCATCGCGAAGCAGCAGTATTAGGGCAGGTTACCTCACGATCTGGTTGCGAGCGAATCAGAGGTCGTTCAGTTGTACTTTATGTTACAGTCGTTCAGAGAGTGTAAGATTTTGTAGGTAGCATATGCACACCAACACACCAAAGTGGGTCCATTCACCAATTACTGCCCTTTCAGCTGCGAGGTTCTCAATCAGTGAACATTAATCGATTCATTGATTCTATCATCAGCATAGCACGTTAAACAAAAGCATTCACCTCTCATAAAATGTACACTACTGCACAAAGCCGGACTGAGAACCTAGAACCTAGAATTGAGCTGCCGAATCTCTGAGAATTGTGCTGCAGTTACAACATGATGCTCAGCCAATGAGCTCGGAGATAGGTGGCCTCTCCATGACATACGCAGACTGCTTTGCCGCCTTGGCCAATGAGGGATCGATGCCTGGAAGATACGGGATCTGCAATAGGAGTGTACGCCGGGAGAGGAGGAGAGAGGTGGAAAAGGCGGAGGCAGGGATAACGTGAGATGCAATAAGAGGAGCGAGCGAGGGTGGGAGAAAGGGAGAGTGGGGACATGGAGGAGAGTGAGAGAGGTAGGGCATGTGACAAGGTATCCGGAAGCAGAGAGATGATGCTTTACATGGGGCAATGATGCTCGTGATAGATTGAGATGATCTTTGGGAGACGGTAGTTGGCTGGAGCAATGAAGTGGCACAACAAACATGCGAAAGTATATCATTGGTGCGCCTTAGCAGCCGCGCAATGTCCCCCTCGTCCAGCCCCGCACAGTCAGCGATGAGCTGGAGCCACGTCACACCCTGCGCCCACGCCTCCACCACTCCAGCGAACTGCGCGTCCAGGTCAGCAGGGATTGCCACGTTGGCAACCAGCTGGAGCTGCATCAGCCAATCGCGACGCTCTTCAGCTTCGTACACCTCCTTTTGCACCTCCCAGGAAGGCTCGTACGGGAAGGAGGGCGAACTGGCGGTGCGAGGGTGGGGGGAAGGGGTAAGTGAGACCAAAGGGCACGGCATAAGGGATAGGGCAGATGCGAAAAGCAAGTTCTGGATCGACTCGAAACAAACCCGCACATACGCCCACTCCTGCACATCCTAGGAAGGGTCATAAGGGAAGGAGGGCGATCTGGAGGGTGGGGGGAGGAGGAGTTGAGACCAAGGATGATATGAAAGGCTAGGGCATTAGGGAGAGGGCACATGTGGAGGACAAGTTGTGAGACGTCTCAGACCATGCCTCATACACCCACTCCCGCACCTGCCAGGACGGCTTGTAGGGGAAGGAGGGCGAACTGGCAGGGTGGGTGTTAGGATGCAACAAAAGGGAATGGGCAAAACGGGAGAACGAGGGAGGGTTTATGGTTGACACCTGAAATTTCTCACCTCTGCACTAACACCCGTCACCTGCTGCTGTCTCCCGTACGCATGTGCATGCCTTCAGAACCCACCACAATGACTCACCTGCCGTCGCCTGTGCGCATGCGCATGCCTTCAGACACCAGAGCAGCGCAGCACCCCGCTATGGCCGGTGGAGAGAGGCGCGGGAGGGAGGGGTGCGAGAGCGCCACTGCGATCCACAGCTCGTTCACCCCTCGCACCTGCGTGAATGGAGAGACGGAGGGGTGAGAAGAGTTTTGGTGAGGGGAGGGACGTTCAGAGGCAGCTCACGACATGGGTGGGGGGGAGGGGTGCGAGAGTGCCACCGCGATCCACAACTCGTTCACCCCCTTGTACATGCGTGCAGGGGAGGGAGGGTGGAGCAGATAATAGGCAAGGAGAGGGAAGTTCTGAGGCAGTTCACAACACGGAGCCAGGCGAAAAAACGGGAGAGGTGCATGAGGGAGTGATGTGTGAAAGAGCGCCACTATGCCACCCCGCTCCTCTACCCCTCACACCTGTAAGAATCCACCTGAACCAGCACCTGCAAAGTAGGTGGTTACCCAGGTGAAAACTCAGCTGATTGCATATTACCCAAATCCCGGTAGGAGGAAAGAACGCTGCTACAACCTCACCTGTATCTTCATAAGAGAGAATTTGACCTGCTTTTCCACACAGCACCTGAACAAACACCTGACCCACCTGGCCTGGCCATGTCGCTGCTCACCTTGGCGGCAATCTCCCCGAGCGGCATGAGCGTGCTGCTCTGCGGGTCCAGCGCATCCGCCTGAGCCAGCACCTGAACCACCTGAACAAACTCCTGCCACCCCGCCGGCTGCATCCCCGCAATCCGCCTCCTCAGCGCCTCCACCCGCCTCCCCACCTTCCCCTCCTCATACTCACACCTCCCCATCTCCGTCACCTGCTGCTGCCGCCGCTTATACACCGCCGAAGCCTTTACTCTCTTTCTAATTTGTGATAGCTTCTGCTTGTGTGACTTGAGGGAGGCTTCGAGGGAGGAGAGTGAGGAGGGGAGGGTGAGGTGATTGGAGTCTTCTGAAGGGGAGAGGGGGGAGATGGGGGACCAGCCTTGGGGGAAGCGGATGGCGGAGGTGAGGTGGAGGAGGGGGGTTTTGGATTTGATTCGCCAGACGCTGAATGTGGGGTGAGGGGTGGATAGCCACGAGGCAAATTGTGATTCGCTTTCAGTGGTGCTGGTGGGTAAGGAGTCTCCTGCAGCTCCCAAATCCCGATCTCCCATTTTCCCAATCATTCCCTCGTTCCCATTCTCTCCCCACTTGCCCCTTCCACTTTCTTCTTCTCCTCCTCCCACCTCCGTTCTCTCCCCTTTTTCCCCTCCGCTCCCCCTGAGCCATCCCTGTAGCATCTCCGGCACAGGCGGCAGGAAACGTTTCAGCTTTGCCACCCGCTGCCACCCAGCCGTCTCATCTGCCTCGTCCTGCCGGCCCTCCGGCCAGAGGTACCTGCCAACGAGCTGCCGCCCGTCGGCCGCTGACATGGCGAGCTCCGATTGGTCGGTGGGGTTGTACTGCGCTCTGATTAGCTGGCGGATGCAGGGCGAGGGGAGGACGTACCAATGGGAATCCTCCCCTATAACTGCCACGTAGGACGGCGATGAGGAGAGAGAGGATGGGGAGGAAGAGGAGGAAGAAGAGGAGGATGATGGAGTGGTGCTGGTTCTACGGTCACTGTCATTTAGACCGCCTAATTGAGCCACCTTTTTCAGTCCTTGGGCCTCTCTCCCTTCCTCCTCCTCCTCCTCCTCCTCCTCCTCCTCCTCCTGCTCCCTTCCCCTCTCCCCTCCCTCTCCTCCCCTTCCACTATTCCGCAAACTCCTCTTTCCATCCCCCTTTCCCTTCACCACTCTTCCCTTCACCACTCTCCCCATATCACCGCCCTCCTCCTCCCCCACCCCTCCTTCCTCCGCCCAGTCCTCCCCCTCCTCCTGCAGGTACGGGGGAAGCGCCTCCAGCTGCCCAACCAGCAGCCCCCGAACCAACCGCACAGCCCCGGGCGCCAGGTCCGGGAGCTGCGCCGTTACCACGAGCCTGCGCCCCACAGGTGCGGGAGCGGGGCGAGCAGCACCATTCCCACCAGGCACAGTAAAATCAGGGGCACCATTCATCCCACTAGCGGCTGCTGAAGTTTCAACTGCAGGCAAATCATCAGAGGCCAGCAGCGCCGTCTGTAGCGGCAGCAACGGCAGCAACAGCAACGGGTGCTTCGTGTGCCGCGTGAGCCTCTTGAGGCTCGTCAGCCTAGAGCAAGGCGTCCTGTATCTGGGGGTCAAGGGCAAATGCTCGCTGCTGAAACACTTGCCTCTGCAGTGTTGCCACCATGAGAATCCTGTACGAGAACAGGTGGTGGTGGCGGTAGCTGGCGTCCCTGGAACTGTTGGTTGGGGTCCTTATATTGCTTCAGTAGCTGAACATGGAAAGCGTTGTGAAGCTTCCACGTAGTAGGTAAGCGCAAGCAAGATGTTACTGGTGTCACCTGTGCCTCAACGTGAAAAGGACCACATAAGCGAGGCCGGAGCTTGGATGGTAGGTGAGACATGTTCAAGTTGCGCGTGTCGAGAAGCACCTGATCTCCGACTGCTACGGTGTGATCACGTCGCTGGCGATCGGCATACTGCTTCTGGGAGGTATGCATCGTGGTGAGGTGTCGCTGAGTCTTCTCCCATAGCTGCTGCATGGTGGTGACGAAGTCATGTGCGGCTTGGACGTGTGCCGGTGTGGTTGGCTGCTGTGGTGTAATTGGTTCTTGTCCGTAACACAGGAAGAAAGGAGATTTCCCTGTGGCCGCATGTGAAGCTTTGTTGTAAGCGAACTCAAGCGTCGGTAACTGTAGATCCCAGTAGCTGATGTCGTCTTTGCAAACTGTGCGCAGTCGCTCAGTCTGTTCGTCAGTCTGGGGGTGGTACGCTGAAGACATCGCAAACTTTGTCCCCATCAAACCCGTGAGTTCCCTCCAGAATTTACTTGTGAACTTTGGGTCTCTGTCCGAGATTATGCTGTGGATGGTGATGATGCGGTCGATGAAGAGGCGAGCAGTTGCTTCAGCTGTAACCGTGGCGTTGGTCGGAATGAAGTGTCCCATTTTATAGAACTTTTCGATCACCACGAGTATAGCGTCATGCCCTCGTGAGGTCGAAGGTAGCCCAGTGATGAAGTCTAGGCTAACGACTTGCCACGGCTGCTCCAGTACGGGTAGAGGCTGAAGTAACCCTGTTTTTTTTCTGCTTGCTACTCTTCATCCGCTGGCACGTGTCGCAAGAGGTGACGAACTGCTGCACGCCTGCTGCCATCCAGGGCCAGTAGTAATACTTTGCTATTCCTGCTAATGTCTTGTTGCTCCCGAAATGTCCCGCGTATGCCACATCGTGGAACTCCTCCAGTAAGATCTGTCGGAGCAGGGCATAGTTCGGTACCCAAATCTTTCCTGTTCCCTTTCTTACAGCTAAGTCCTTCTCCCACTGCAACAGCTTCTGTTTTTTCTACTGTAATCTCTGCGTCCATGGAGTACCCATGTTGGAATAGACCCTTGAGCAGAGGGTTCATCCCGTCGAGCTGGATGCCTACTACGTGACCGGGGCGGCTCAACGCATCTGCCTTGTTGTGTAGCCCGGGTTTGTAGATGATGTCGTAATGGAAGTGGGTCTCCAAGAAGTCCACCCACCGCACCTGTCGTCGTGAGAGTGTCGGCTGCGACTTCAGGTATTTGAGGTTGCAGTGGTCAGTGTAAACTGTAGTCTTGGCTCCCTCTAGATAACACCTCCACGCCTTGAAGGCTGTGACTATCGCTAAGGCTTCCTTGTCATGGATTGGGTAGTTCAGTTCTGCTCCGTGTAGCTTCTTACTGAGGTAGGCGATGGGCTGCAAACCGCGTCCGTGATCCTGCATCAGTACTGCTCCGACTGCTTGGTCACTAGCGTCTGCTTCCACCACGTAGTCCTTGTCTGGGTCCGGTAGGATGAGTACTGGCGATGTGGTCAGTGCTGTCTGTAGCTGCTCCATGGCTTGCTGTTGAGGAGTATCCCATTTGTAGGGCGTGTCTTTTTTCAGTAGGTTGGTCAGTGGTGCTGCTATCTTAGCGTACTACGGCACGAACATGTTGTAGTAGTTGGCAAAGCCTAGGAACTGCTGCAACTCCTTCACGTTCTCCGGTACTTTCCACTTCTTGACAGCTTCGATATTCCGCCGGTCCCAGTCTATCTCGGGGTTGAACCGCTTCAGGAAATCTCGCCCCAAGATGAAATCTAATCCCTTGATGTTCGTGATCGGCAACGTCGGCTTCCACGTCAACGACCCTATCTGCAGCTGCAATGTTGTCTCGCCGTGGATGGGAAGCTTCGTACCGTCCACCATCGTTGCTGTAAATTGGGTCTCCTCTGAGGATTCTCCAATTTTCTCCAACGTCCCGCGGTCGCACACCGAGTGGGACGCACCACTGTCCACTAGTGCCTGGAGGCGTCGCCCGTTGCAGATCACCTCGAGGAGTAGTGGCTGCTGCTGCTCTGAGTAGCCGTAGATGGTCTCGCTTACAGGATCATAGGGTACGTCAAATATATCGTCCTTAGGTCTTGCGCTCAAAGCTGCTGACTCAATGTCAGGTTTCACCTGAGTAGGGCTAGAAGGATTTATCCTAGGCTAGTACAGCTTCTCCTGTGCCTGGAACCTTCCCCTAAGCCTTTGCAGCTGTGTAGGCTTCACCTGTGGGGAACGGCGGGGAGCCTTAACACCGTGCTGCTGGGAGAGAATATTAATTCATCGGAACACTCGACCCTTATCAACGCTCCGGAATGGGGTCCCCATATTACCCGGTGCCTGTTTAATTTCTGAGTCTCCCTTATTAAAGGCTTGGAAACCACGAGAAGTAATATTCTTACTTGTCGAGGTGTACGGCTGGAGTTTCCCAGTCGGTGCAGGGTCTTGTTTCGCGGAGTCTCCTTTTGTCTCGGCGATTTCCCCTGGTGCCGGCTGGTCGTGACGTTTTAAAATCGCGCCATCATTTTCTCCTTTTTTCGCCCTTTCCGAAGTTGCCACGTTGTCCGTTTTCTGCTTCGGGGGCGTCGCACTGTTCTTGCCCTTCAGCTCCGCACGTCTTTTCTTCATTTTCCAACACTCCAAGATACGATGTCCTGTAGCGCCACAAAATTTGCACGTCTCATTGTTTGCTAGCCGCTGAGTCGCATCGTCCTTGTCGTTCTCCATCGGGTCGGCAGTCGTGGGTGGTGCCGATCGCTCCATGCCACTATTTGGCTTGTTGCGCCGTGTTCCGTAGTAGCTACTGTTCAACGCGTCGAACTGTTCGATTAGTGCTGCCCGAAATTGCGTCCACGTCCCTTCGCCTTGGACAAGTTTGTTGTTGATCCACTCTAGAGCTGGGCCACGTAACAGTGTTGCTGCGAGGAGTATGCGCATTGCGTCTTTTGTCGGGGTCGTGCATCCAACGACTTCGAAGTAAATTTCGAGTTCAGCTACAAATCGACGAGCGTCACTCCCTTTAACTGTAGGATTGAACGTCTCTGGTTGCCTCGGCTTCGTTGCTTCGAGGTTAACTGTAGCTGCTGCCGTTGTCGCAGGTACAATTGTCGGTGTCGCCGCCGCTGCTGCTGCGGAATCGACGAGCTCGAAGTCTGTACGCCGGGCAATTCTCCCTTAGTTGAAATTCGCGTCCGATCTCGGCCGTTGAGAAGAAACTCGATCCGACGCTCCAAATTCCAACCTTTTTGGGCGAAATTCTCTGGGCCGTTGAGATTCGAATCGACCTGACGGTCGAAATTCCAACTTTTTTGCAAATAATCCTGAGGGGTGTTTGAAAACCGGATCGAGGGGGACTTAGGAAAATTTGCGCGGAACTGATTTTACATACCCGTATCGGCGCTTTCGTCGTCGCCCCCGCGGTTTTTAAAGGCCGGTTTTAAGCGGTTGAAGACCTCGCGTATAAACCCGCTCTGATTACCAAGTGTGAGGATCTGGTCCAGGAAAGAGAAATCTATTGAATGATTCACCTGGGTACAAGGCGAAGCTGTATATAGGCTCGACACAAGGCAGGTAACCCAGGTGTTACGCGAATGTTCTGAGGGTCGCGAAGCGTCCCGAACAGAACCTTCCCGAACTCGGTAGAAAGCAATTCGGTGGGAACCGAAAAGGCTTGAGTTCGGTACACGTAACCTGGTTCGGTGCTATAATTATAATAACATATAGGAATGCACCTAACCTAGGAAATCAAGCATATCTATGCATGATAAATAAAACCTAAGCTAGTAATAGCATAATAATGTCCAGGCAAACTAGCAAAGCCAGCATAAGCCGTCGTACTCTCACACTCGGCGTCGTCGTACGCCAAGTCGTCGTCGTCGATGACGTACACCGTGGTGAAGGCGGCCGGTATGAAGAAGTCAGGTGGCCTCCGAAATCGGCCTGTACGCCGTGGTCCTGGCTGGACCTCCACCACATCGTTGTCGCTGGACTCCTCGGCGTCCCCTCCATTGTCACCGGCTTCGCTGCCCTCGTCGTCCTGCTGCACCTCGGTCGGCTTCCCCGCCGACTTCTCCCCTGTGGTCGGCCTCCCTACCGACTGCCCAGTCGCCGACTGCTCCGTGGTCGGCGTCGCTGCTGCCTGCTCCCCTGTCGCATGCTGCCCTGCTGGTGCCTTCTTCGCCGGCTTCACCAAAGTCGACTGCAACTCCTCAGCCTGATCCTCCCCTGCAGGCGTCGACTTCACTCTCATGTCGACTTGCTGGACGTCACGTCGGCCACCGGATATGCTCTTGGCCGGCGCCACGGGCGACGCCCCACTTCTCCCCTCATCACCGGAGGCCAACACCGGACTCATCCCACGCAGGTCGGCCACAAGGGGAGGGGCAGGAGAGGCAGGGGAGGGGAAGGGAGAGGTGACATCCTCGACGTCCTCAGCAGCAAGCTCACTGTGTCAAACATTATACATGTTCCTATTGTGTAGGCTATAGTGGGTTTAGCCTTAGGGGGTACAACATTGTTAGGGTTTCCTACTTGTATCACCCTGCTGACTAGTTTCATCCATTCTCGTTCAGTTCTAGATTCTAACATGGTATCAGAGACCTAGGTCAGGACCTAGGACCGACGTTGGTTAGGGCCCACC